TAAAGGCATGCAGCTGTGATGGATTGTGTACAATATGGTGTCAGAATGTTGTATATTTTTACTTCTCATCCAACCACAATTAAATTCAATCTATCCAGGAGACACAATTTATCAGGATAGTATTTTTTAACAATATTGAGCTGAAATGAAATAGGAATAACGACTTTCTGCTTCTTACCTTGTTTAAAAATGTTAGAAGTAGAAAGTACAGATAATTGTGTGAAAATGTAAGGAGTAAAAGGTAGGCTGAAAAATAATTACTCAAATAAAGTACAGATACCCAAAAATTCTACGTATGTACAGTAATCAAGTATTTGTACTTTGTTACTTTACAARTCTGTTCATTGTTACAGATAGTTAAAACAATTTGGATCTGATATGCATGGGCGTTTTCACCAGTGACCAGTTGTTGCTGCCAATAGCCTGCAGGAGTCATGGGGGAGGCGTGCTTTGTAATTTGAATGCTCGACTTGGAAACACAGCCCAGAGGAGGATTTACACCAAGAAGCGTAGTTCTAAGTCCAACTAGCCATTTTTCTCAAATATGCATGAATGAGTCAAAGCAACACTATGTATGATGTTAATAAGGGGATGACGTTATAACATGATACAAAGTTCAAAAAAGTTGATTTTACATGATAATTGCCCTTTAAGATTTTAGCCAGTTCAGTCCGAATTCAGATTCTGCTGCATTTGCAATTTTTTGCCACATTATACTTTCATTTAATTACTTAACCCAGAGGAATGACTACCAAACAAAATTATACCATTTGCCTTCACCTCCAACAGTAAAACATCTATTTCACATTCAGTGATTATTTTCTTTTGCCCACTTCAATATCTTTGCCAATGTTACTTGAACACACGGTAGAAGCCTATTGTGTATTTATAGTAATTTGCATATTTATTTATAGGACGGGACAGAACAGTACAAGCAGCACCTGCAGCTGCTCTTTATTCCATGTAAATTGGGATGTATGCAGGAAAGGTGTTTTGAAATATGCATGCACACGTTTGCATAAATCTGAATATTATGCCTTTGCACCAACTTTCAATATAAAAACTGCTCACTATTATGCATGAGGCTTTTGAATTTTTGCAGTGCTCTTTTAAACTGTGTAAACAATGAAACCAAAGACCCACAGCACAAACCTATGAGTGAAAACTCCTCCATTGTTGATACACAACTGTGCTGACTGATAGCTGATTGTTGTACAGTAGCTACATTGCTTTCCCTGTAATAAAAAGTAGCATAATGTAGGTCCTCACAACTGCTCTATGATTAAACTAATAATCTCTAAAAAAAATTTAAAATTAGAATCACTTTTATTGCCGAAGTTTTCCTCCTGAAGTCCACTGTCATCTGCATAGTCTTGAGCAGATTAAGCTATGGGTGGTTCTGACCTCACCACTGGACAGTTATTGTTTTGGATGAGACCAATAACAGTGATGTCATCTGCAAACTCTAGAGCAAGGGTCACCAATACGGTGCCCGTGGGCACCTGGTCGCCCGCACGGACTTTCTGAGTTGCCTGCAGGACACATTCTAAAAATAGC